TCTGGGAGTTGAAGTCCACAAGTCTTAAAGTTGCCAAGGTTGGACACCCCTGGTCTAGATGTACCCAGTTCCCTTAAGCACTCGTGGTAAGATGTGTGTGTCATGTGTCAGCCTGCACATCCCTTACCACCTTCCTTGCTCTTCTCTGCCCTCTGACCCCTGTCCCCTCCCCAGCAGAGAAGATCTGGTGCCTTTTAGATCGGCGGTCCCCAAGTTCTAGCAGGCAACCAATGCTGACCTCCATGCTATCGAAAGCTTCCCTCGCCCAATTCTGCTCACTAAGCTATTCCTGAGAACACACAACCGTGTTAGTTTCCCCCCCCCACCACAATTCAGGGCGGCACTTGGACCAAACCTATCAACAAGGCTTACCTGTGGGGAAAGGGTTCTGTTGGACCACATCCAGGTAATTGTGGACAAGGTGATAGAGGGGATCCAGAGGTCCTGGAGGTTGGCGTTGAGCAGGGATACGCTGATCAGCACCCACATCGGCGAACTGGAGGGTCAAGAGGTGGTTTCCTTCTGCAGAGCACTGCTGGGAGTGGACCAAATCTGGGTGGGCAAAGGCAAAGGCCAGGAAGAAGAGGAGCACATGTCCCATGCCAGGATCCGGCAGGGTCCGAGACTAGCGTCGTGTCGCAAGTGGGCCTTATCCCCAGACACTCTAGCAAGGTAGAGTGGGGAAAACAAGGCCTTTCCTTTCTTCCTGCCAAACCAAAGGAACCACCTTTCCCAGCCCTGTAGGATCTTTTTCCAGGCCCCAAGTCTGGCTTGTCCAGGAGAAGACAAGAAAAAGAAGAAGAAGAGGAGCGCTTAGGACCACTTCCGCTGGGCGCTTCTCTACCTTCAGCCGAGCAAGTCTGTGTCCTTGCTGAACCGCTTCCACTTCCAAAAACGTTTGGGGAAAGTGGGGGGAGGAAGACACACAAACCGGCCGGACAGGTTTGATGCTTTCTGATGACAAGGCCCTTCTTGCTGCTTTCCAGCGAGTGGGATGGAGCAGGGTGGGGCCACCGCACCAGGTGGAAGGGAGTGAAGAGTGAAGCTGGGTTTTTTCCCTCCAGGAGCCCCCAATTTGTGTCTCTTCCCCCTCTGCTGCACTTTATCCCTGCGGGGTGGGGGGGAGGAGTCCCATGTTTTTGGGAAGAAGGCAGCAGCTGACTCGGTTGGGGAAAAAATAAGCAGGCTGGAGGGAGGGGAGGGAGGCATCTAGACGTTGGTTTGGGCCGGTGGTGGTGGAGGTGAGCTGAGCCAGATTGCATCTCTCACATCCTGTCTAGCAGTGCTGGGGTCACAGAGGAAATGTACGTGGGAAAGGGTGGGGATACCAGTCTCCGAGGCTTCCATGCATCTCAGAAATACCAAACGGGTACTCTGGTTGTGTGCTACAATTCATTTCTCTCCCCAAGTTGTACAAAGGGGACATGGAGGAAATAGGAAATGACACTCCACAGAAAACTGCCAAACAGATCCTTCCTTCCTTCCTTCCTTCCTTCCTTCCTTCCTTCCTTCCTTCC